TACAACGAAATTTGAAAGAAAGCGTCATTTCCATTAACTAAGTCATCTTCGACCACAATTACACAAAACAACTAAAACACTTCCATAAAATTATTAAATGTTATTACGTGGACATTCATTAATACTTGTTCGTTCACACCAGCCGCCTCGGCCTGCCTCTTTTAAAATGGGGTAAGCTTGAACTTTGCTTGACAAGCTTTGAAAGAAAGTGACATTTTTATTAAAAAAGTGATCATTGCCGATCAATTATAAAAAAACATTCAATCATACCTCCGTGAAATTAATACATGTTATTAATTTAACAATTGTAAACATTGGTTCGTCGCTCCGAACTGCCTCTCTGTGGACGCACAGTCAGCGTCAGCGCTGGATGTCGTGCGAGAGGTGGCGCGCGGGCTTAAATACGGACAGGAAATGAACTCTGACATATTCGTTACCGGGACTGCTAAAAACAAGACTTAAGTGACATGCAGATAAGTCTCAAAGGAAGCCAACTAAATCGCGCAGGTCTCTGGTGTTCCCATATCAAATAAGGCAACCCAAATATCCATCATGTTCATCATCCCAAATAATGCATTAATTCAATTCAATATCATGATGTATCACTTTGTGGTTTGTGGTTCAGTGCGCCCACACGCCACCTCTGACGGATTAAATCACCATATAATAGTGAAATAATATAAAATTATTAATTATTATTTAACAATAAAAATGAATAACGTGTAGTACTCTCGTTATTGTAATTCACTACTACTATAAAATACTACTTCTTTTCCTTTTACTAACAAACGAAAAGTTTTTACTGTATTTCTACTTCTAAAACCTGTTGTTAAAAAATGTATAAACACTATCTCAACTCACTTTTTAACCCGTTCTCACGTGAGTCATGGGGTAAATTCTTATAATAACCTTTTCTTTACTTCTGTTCAAAGAAATTAAGCTTTTATTCACCTTCATTAACGACAGATAAATACCAGTATTGTTTCCGACATAAATTAATAAATTATTATTATAAATTACGTGGAATATTGCTATTTTTTACATTGAACATGCTTCATTAGATTCATGATTAAAAATCCCTTTTAAAAACATTTTAAAAATAGTCATTTAACTTAATATCCTATGCACACGTTTCGGCCCCGTTGAGGCCACCGTACGCGTACATTTAAGACAGGAGGAACAAAAGAAGACGTGTTGGAATTTATATTAAAATTTCATCTATTTTACGCTCTACGTAGAATTAATTTCTTTTCCTTTGTACCATATGACGAAATGTTTAGGCTACGCCGGGTTACTCGTCCTTAACCCGTGACAGGTGATAAGGAGGCTGATAGTACCCCGGAATTTGAACGATTCCAAACCTATGCGAAGCGGGTGCTCTAAGGAACCTAGGCTTCTGGGTACCTCTAAGGATGTGAGTTCTGCAAAGCCGGTAGTGGTCATATTGTTGAAGATGTTAGAAACTTCTTATTTTATTTTTGTGGTGCCTCGGATATAATAAATTCCCACCTCACGAATTACGTAAGTATTTATCCCGTACTTTTTTTATATTTAACAAACCTGTGGATGCTTTGAAGGATATTATTACGGTAGATGACCCAGGATATGAGGAATGGGTCAAGGTCTATTAACAAGCGGAAGAGAGCGAATTCAGAGGTAAAGAGGTGGAGAGCGTATTTGCGAAAATTGCTGAGAATGAATTGTGGAAAAGTCTTAAAATTCAGTTTGTGTTGTATTAGTCATAACATGCGATTATTTGGTCCTCCTAAATCAAATTCTGGTCCTCAAATGACGATTTTATAATCATTCTGTGCATTGGTACGTAATAAAGTTGGAGAAGTGATTCACGTCGACCTTCAAAAACTTTTTAATTTGATTAATTACTACGCTTCTTATTTAATTAGTTTTGTATTAATCCTAATGGCAATGGATAAAATTTCTTATTCACATCACCATATCAGATAGTATTGTTATTTCAACGCTTTTAAGCAATTTTTTGTGTTTGAGTATGAGTAGTCGCCACATCACTAGTTACGAGGTAATCTTGTTTATTGTAATGCACGTTTATTTGCGTAAAATACCAATAATATCGTTAAGGTATTTTCAAGGCTGGGCTCTTGCGTACACTTCACCCAGACAGCAAGAAACTTGTTCAAATACCTCTTATAATGTTCAACAATAGCAGACTTGAGTTTACCTCAAATCCATCATTATCGTGTCTCTCTTTCTGATCCCTCGTTTCCGATGTTTGTTTTTTTAGTTTTTATCTTCCTGTTCAACTTACATGGTTTCCATGGTTGTGAATAGAAACATATATACATTTTGGGTTATTTTATAAATGGGTGCGTTAAATGGGTTGGTTTATTTTAATAACTTAAATTATTTTGGATGTAAATTGAAGCTACAAAGAATGATCGTTGATATGGTTAATTGATGAAGGTCATATCATTTCAGGTCGATTTTCTTCTATTAGGGTTTTTTAGCGCCAGATATAAGGAGATATCCTTAAACTCTTTTGATCACGTGACAAACGTTTTTATACGGTCGTAATGAATAAAGTTCAGAAGAGTTTTAGAAATTGCGACATTGCGTTATGCAGTATAACAAAGGAAGCATTTTTAAGCGTTGAACAGAAAAATTGCATAATATATCAAAGAGTGTAGGCTAGTGGTGAGACATTTAAAACACGTTACGAGTCAACAGAACAACAAATATAAATTGTGCATGGAGTTTTTAGTTTTTGTGGCCCTCCGTGTTGAATATGCAGTCTGGAATTTTGAATCTGCTTTTCTTGAAATTATAGGAATTACTTTAAAACAGCGTTCGTTATGAGCATAAAACATAAGCTATCCCGAAGATATGATTTGAACTCCTTTTTTGCGAATTTCTTTCCTATCACCTCTCCAACATATCCTGTTAATTCTTGCCAGCGTTCTGGAGTTGTTAAGGAATGATTGTAACGACACATACGAGAATCGGTTTACCCGAGTTGGAAAATTCAACTTTTCGTGTTTTTAGGCGGCCATTTTGCGGCTTGTAAGGTGAACGTAGAGACTACCGCAGACGTGCACTATTTATGAAAGTATAATGTCGTACCTTAGGCCTAATGTAAGACGTTATGATTTCAAGATCCGTCACGTGACTGTTAGTGCATAACGTCGCCACCTTACGTGTGCCACTAAAACTCCCAATTTTATGGTGGTCTGAATCTGTCTTTAGAGAAGCGGGTGTTTATGAGTAGGTGCGTCCAAGGTTGGTAATCGTGGTGCTGGGAGATGTAGAGAGTGATGGGAAGAAGCCTTCGGACAGTTTGGTGATGTCTTCTTTTATTGTCGGAATCTGCAGTTCGAGGTGGTTTTGATTTTTTGAAATGAATCATGTGGCTGTAATTATAATTCTTAACGCTTTATTTTGTATAGTTTGTAAAATTTTTATGTTAGATTGGGCTGCATTTCCCCATATTGGGCATGCGTAAGTCATAGTTGGTCGAATTATAGACTTGAAAATCGTAAATCGTTCATTGTCTCTGAACCAGGAGGTCCTAACGTTTGAGTTCCAACGCGGTGGCTGATTTTATACATTAACTAGATAGTTGATCGATTTCAGCTCCTGAGAGAAGGAGAATTCTAGCGTCCAGCTGTTCTGGTCGGTAGTTTTCCGTGATTTATCCGATGAACGCAAAGAAAATGCCTGAGCAGTACCCTAACAAACGGTCTGCAGACTGGGCGCGATCTCTCCATCCTCTTCTTCGTCCTATCCTATCCCTTTACACACTTACGTGCACACTCTACGTAGGTGGAAACCGGATCTCACCCGCCAGCGGGGAAGGAATCATTACCACCTCCCGGGATAAAACATTCACTACACTAACGGGACTCATGACCATATACATTGACGTGTCCGGAAACATCAATCAACGCTTATATTATCCGAATGAAATGTCACATAAAGAAAATTGCAAAAATATTTATTGTCCGCCACGCGTATGAGCTGTTTGGATCACAAAGGCACTAGGGATGCAGTTGCAGATGGCCGCTTGTGACTTAAATTGCTTACGTCTCAGCAGCTGACAAGCAGTCATCAGGAACAGGCTGGGGCACTTTCTGGGACGCAGTAGTTTTAGTGAGAGGACGCACACGATTTAGTGAACGGCCCGCACATCACCTTGAATGTCACGTGATCCGAGCTCATAGAATTCCCATGGCCCTCAAGGAACCTTCTTGTTTTGAGCTCCCGACTTCTGGTGGACACTACGCCTGTGACTATCGACGCCATGCCAGATGAGCGCTACGGCCTCAGAGTGGAGAATGAGTACGAAACGGTATAACATTTCTTGGGCCCTTCATTCCAATTATACGGACAAGCTTATTGTACATAATCTTATAATAAATAAGCTAAGTACGTGTGTGCCTTTTAAATAAATGCGAAGACCAGGGCTCTCTCACCTTAGTTGTAGATCCCCCCTCTCATTAGCGAGTAGTCTAGCTCCCTGTAAATTATGTGACTAACAGCCTGCTCAGAAGTATTCGTCTTATCGGGAACTTGAAAACAAAGGATCAGTTGCATCGGAATTGAATTTCAACTGAGTGATTAAAAAGAAATATTCAGTTTTGCCAACGAGTTCCAAAAAACCAGAACGTTCTCAATGAACAACTTAAAATTATTCGGACAAGTACGATTCGATTGCTGCTTTTTTCTTTAAACATTTTCATGAATTGGAAATACACAATTGTTAATTTAAATTAGTTTTATAAAAATATATAAAACATTATATACTTTCCTATTAATTATTCAAATATGTCTGCTGCATTTGTCTGCTCACTTGGTATCCGCCCCCCGAGTGCAGTTTCTATTTGCAACACCTTGGAGAGTTTCTATCATAAAATTTCCTTCTTTGGGTTTAAATAAACAAAATCAATATGAAGTACAAAAAAAGAACAAAATAGCCAAAAAGTCATCTTTTATTATCAAATAAGGTTGGAAGTAAAATAACAAGGAATTAGAGGATCAAATTAACTTTAGCAGTCTTTAATTATCTATTTAATCTAAGAAAATCTCGTCGAAAGCTACTCCACTGAAAATTCCTTTCGAGTACTGATGAAAAACTTCTCCGAAAACTTCATCGAAGGCTGGTTTTAGCTCCGACCATAAGTCTTTCCAGTTTTCGTTGAGCAAATTATTCATGGATTTACCTGAAAACAGAACAAAATTCGTTCGTGAATTATAATTTTTCCAGCCTTATTTTCGATTAACAATAACATTGAATAATAATTCTGTCATTAGAGCATAAACTATTGCAAAATTTGACTGTTACAAGAAAAGAATTTTTAAAAAATTAAAATGAACGTTTGTAGGGATCACATGATGATGCTTCAAAAATATGTGTATAAAATAAATAAGTTTTTTATACCTACCGAGAGTTTTATCACCATTGAATAGGTTATCAAATTGGACTTGTAGTTTATCAAGGCCGTTGATGTCTAAGAAAAAATCCGTAACATCGAAGTAATTTTTGCCTTTCTTCGTTACTCCTTTACCCTTAGGACCCAAGTTAGCTTGGATGTTTGCTGAAAAATCGACATTATTTTGAATTAATGTTCGTAAAATGAAAATTAGAAGTACAACAAGTTGTATGAACATAGATAACTAGATTAATCCGTGTGGGTATGCATCAGTTTTTGTAATAATTTCAGGAAAAATAGTTGTATGAACATAGATAACTATATTAATCCGTGTGTGTATGCGTCTGTTCTTGTATTAATTTCAGGTAAAATAAACACACCACCATTTTCTCTACAATTATACGAACCATTTTTTAGAGCATTTAGCTGAGTAAAGCTTCGTTTCTGCTCAATAGTTTCTTAACAATTTGTTCAGTGACATATATTAGAGGCTATTGCCAGTAGTTCAAGAAATTTAAGAGATTAAAAATATTTCAATTTAAATTTTATTAAAAATAAATAACACATATTTTACCAATTAAATTACAAGTTTTAAAAAAATGTTTATATATTCGCTTTAGATACCGCTCAGATGAAGATTATGCATATGCTCAGACATCTGCGAGACGACAACATCAAAGAATCCGCTAAGACCCAGCGGTTACTCCACTGTCTAAATAGTCTCCATTCATTGTATTTCTAGTTTCCCCCTTACTGGCAAGATACGGCCACCCATGAACTGAGGTTACCAATTTCACGATTTCTCGACACGTTCGGAGCAGTTCTGGGACAGTAGGAAGTATTTTGTGGAGAGCGGTGGAGGTGCGCTTCCGAGCGAGACTTACATATTTTGTAGTGGTGTAGAAATACAGATAAAATTAAGCATATTTTAACTGTTAAACTGAAACATATTAAGATAAGTTAGTGCCAAAATATACTATTCTCTATTTGATCATAAACTATTTTGAAAAATGTCCCTGAAATCAAAATCCCACAGCATACAGTGTTTATACAGTTGTTCATACAGAGAAAAATTAGAAGTAAAAATGAACAAATCTACACCGCAGATAATTGTCGGTGGATATTATAGAAAAAGTGCAAACGTCATTTCATCATCTTTGTGTAATAAATTAAACTGGTTATTTCCAAATAATTATGTGAATTTCGTGCAGCCCTGCTCTTGAAACCAGTTGATGCCCCTGCATCTGTCTTCTATGACGTCCGAATGAAAATAAGTCGAAGCGCAGAGTCTGTTTCTAAGTATTTCCGAAGAAAAAAAATATACCTACTATTTTTCGGACACAAACGACGAAA